ATCATATTCACCTGAGTACATTACACCAACACAGAAAAATCATAATAAAAACTAATTTAGATAACATGCATCAACTGTCTGATCCTAAGGTAAATTTACAGATGCCAAAAAAGGCACATTACTCTGAATTTCTCATTTTATCTAAATTTTCACAATAATTTCTGGGAACTCAAAACATTTTCTGGGACCAACAGTCTTGTGGTCTGATACTTCCCCCCCCCCCCCTGCTTGTGGTCTAATAGTTTATTTGTTGTAGTGCACATTTGAAGGCTGTGGCAAACGATTTTCACTTGACTTCAACTTGCGGACACACGTCCGAATCCATACTGGCGATCGTCCTTATGTCTGTCCGTTTGACTCGTGTAACAAGAGATTTGCACAATCGACCAACTTAAAGTCGCACATTTTAACCCACGCCAAGGGCAACAAACAACAACAGCAGCAACAACAACAGGCTCTTCAACAGATTCATGAAGACCATCTAGTCGAAGAACAGTCTGCAGCCTTGGACGAAATCTGAAGAGATTTTTGCTCGTAAGTTTTTGTCGTTTGCGGCAGAGAACATTTAAAGATGTACTATACAGAGATACTATCTAGGTTGTCGGCAAACATTTAGAACTGTTTTGCAACCTTGCACACTGACAAACTAGCATACCACATGGCTGAGATAATACTATAAAGGCTATCGCTAAGAGTAAGTTCTCAATTGAGAGCTTTTTATTGCTAGCTGAGAATATGTAGATGCACTATGCAAACTTGTTCATATTAATATTCCAAGCAGTTTTCCGCTTGCATAATTGGCATACATGGATGGGTTCCACCATCGCCTATATATGTCATCATGCAATCCTATTGGTTCATATACTCAGTGGTGGATCCAGAAAGTTTTTTTTAGGGGGGGGGGGGGTGCTGGGCGATCAGCCAAGCACAACGAAACCAGTGCTGGTCAGCAGCGTACTGTCATGAAAATGCATCTACCGTCGATTGCAACTAAGGCCAAAAAAAATATGTGGGTTTCCGGTTTCCCGACCCTACCTAACTTTTGGACGTCGAAATCCCGACCCTAAACTTTTTTATTGGATCATGCTTGTAAGTGTTTCCACTTAGAGGAAAAAGTTTGTGGAAAATTGAAATTTGAGGCAATATTAGGGAAATTTATCTTTGGATGTGGAAGCACTGGCTAAACAAAATGGCGTCCGCTTGTTCGGAAAATTAAAACCGACCTACCCTACCTAAGTTTTTATGAGAAGAAACCGGAAACCCACATATTTTTTTTTTTGGCCTCACCATCATCATCACCATCATCACTACCATTATTACCACCACCATCATCACCACCACTATAATCACCACTATATTCACCACCATCATCACCATACCTATGATCTGATAATCGTTTTCACAGATTGTGGAGCAGGAATTGGCAGGGTGACGAAACACCTCTTGTTACCTTTGTTCAAGAAAGTTGACATGGTGGAACAGGATCAAACATTTGTAGATCAAGCTCCAACATTTCTGGTAAATACTTTTTGTTGTCACTATAGCGTTTGTTGGGTTGTCTCTCTAGCAGTATGATATAGTTAGTGATGGTTCATATTTGATAAAAAATTTGCGTCTTTTACAGGGTGAGGAAAACTTGAAGAGAGTAGGAGAACGATTTTGCAGTGGCTTGCAGGTTCGAAATTAACTAAATCCCTGGGAGTTGATGAGAGTTGAAAAGCGAGAGATGGCATGAATTTTCTCAACTCTCGTGCCCTGGTGAAACGAGAACAAGAGTTGCATGAGAGTTGATGAGAGCTGAGAAGCGAGAGTTTGCATGAGAGTTTTCTCAACTCTCATTGCTTGATCAAACGAGAACAAGAGTTGCATGAGAGTTGACAAGCGAGAGTTTGCATGAGAGTTTTCTCAACTTTTATTGCTTGATCAAACGAGAACAAGAGTTGCATGAGAGTTGACAAGCGAGAGTTTGCATGAGAGTTTTCTCAACTCTCATTGCTTGATCAAACGAGAACAAGAGTTGCATGAGAGTTGACAAGCGAGAGTTTGCATGAGAGTTTTCTCAACTTTTATTGCTTGATCAAACGAGAACAAGAGTTGCATGAGAGTTGACAAGCGAGAGTTTGCATGAGAGTTTTCTCAACTCTCATTGCTTGATCAAACGAGAACAAGAGTTGCATGAGAGTTGACAAGCGAGAGTTTGCATGAGAGTTTTCTCAACTTTTATTGCTTGATCAAACGAGAACAAGAGTTGCATGAGAGTTGACAAGCGAGAGTTTGCATGAGAGTTTTCTCAACTCTCATTGCTTGATCAAACGAGAACAAGAGTTGCATGAGAGTTGACAAGCGAGAGTTTGCATGAGAGTTTTCTCAACTTTTATTGCTTGATCAAACGAGAACAAGAGTTGCATGAGAGTTGACAAGCGAGAGTTTGCATGAGAGTTTTCTCAACTCTCATTGCTTGATCAAACGAGAACAAGAGTTGCATGAGAGTTGACAAGCGAGAGTTTGCATGAGAGTTTTCTCAACTTTTATTGCTTGATCAAACGAGAACAAGAGTTGCATGAGAGTTGACAAGCGAGAGTTTGCATGAGAGTTTTCTCAACTCTCATTGCTTGATCAAACGAGAACAAGAGTTGCATGAGAGTTGACAAGCGAGAGTTTGCATGAGA